TTTTTTTTTTTTTTTTGGTTTGTTTGTTTTGTATTGGTTGGTGCGGCTCTTAGGATTGTACCATGCTAAATCCACGTTCTCTTCTCCATCAATCACGTGCTTGGGACTTTAGAATAAGCTGTTTCGATAGCTTAGGTAAAGCAATAACCAGAGTATTCAAAAATATAAATAGTTTTATTTGAATTGTTTTACACTAGAGAAGAATGAAATAAAGATTTGAATAATTTTTGCATTTTTTGATATTTATGTATCTTTACTTAGTCTATTTTGGCCGTCTGTGTATCAAGATGCATGATGTCTTCGATGATATTGCTCAGACCAACTTGAATAATACTTTCCCTTCTAGCAGAGCCCTTTTGTTTAGTGGTGGAGTGAGTAAAATAGACTCTGCCGATGTAGGACGTTATTCTTGTCGCGCCTGCGTGGCGTAAATTATCAACGCTATCATGATTTTGACAGCCGCTCTCGTCAAATAACGTTTGGCGCCACGGTGTGTTACATTTGCTCATGAGCACTACATGTACTCGGTTAAAAACCGGTTTTAAAACTGGTTTCGTTCGTCCACAATCGTGGAAGACAGTGTATCAAAGGAAACGCTCTTTATCAGCAGTCTCCCTCCTCCCCGCCTAAAAGAAGGGAGAAAAAAAGGAGAGACTCTGCTAGCAGAGAACGTTCTACTTTATTGCCACTCACAAACCTGTCATTGTTTAAGCGACAAAACACTTCCCAAATTAGGTCATTATTGCACCGCACAGAGATGAATTGAAAACGTTCCGTAACCACAGACCTTATCGAAACTGGGCTCATTGAGCGTATTTTTAATATCCGGCATAGAAAATTGGAGCAAGTAATTACAGCCATTCTCAATTTTATCTGGCGAAAAAAATGACTTAGTTGCTAAAGTGCGCGAAGCCAAGTAGCTCAAGAGATTTGGCACAATTGTTTCAACTTCTCTATATCTAATCCGTGTAAGTATAGCTTTAGCCTTATCAATAAACATAGGAAAGTGCACTCATGGAGATATTTACGAGTGCAACGTATATAAAAGAAGTTGTTGTTTATTCATGATAATAGAATCTGCACAAATGCATTTTTTTTAAAGCATAAATTCTAGTTTATACGTGTATATGATCAGGAATAGACGAAAAAAGAACAGTTTAAACTCCAGAATTCATCACCATCCTGTTATTCTACTTATAAATTGTGATTTGTGAATTTTATTTACTTATAAAAATTATTAGGGTGGCCTTGGTTTGTGTAGTCGCACAGTAAAAAAAAAAAATCAATAAAAATCGTTCAAACCGCGAATCCGCATTTTCTCATGGTAAATGAAACCGAATCTCATGTCTCATGGAAGTAAAAGGAAAATCGTCTAATATTTATAATATTTACAAATATCACAAGTCCTTAAAAGTTTAAAACGCGGGACGTTTCTTGTACGGACGTAATTTTTTTTTTTTTTTTTTTTTT